ATCCTGCCTGGAATTGTATACCCTGAGTTCTGCAGGCTGCATCCCTGGCAGAGCAAGAGGAGCTGAGCTGAGCAGGATCAAAGGTGCAGGATGGAAGGCACAGATGCCATCAGTGGCAGCCTCTGGTTATCAAGTCTGGAAAAGGCCAAAGCCAAAGGCACTGCAGGAAAGTAGAACACAGGAGCTTCTTCTAGAGAACATCTGCTGGAGGAGGACTGGAGAGCAGCGTGCATCATGGGGGAGTTTGAGCAGTGGCTTCTCCTTGCCAGCAATAGACCAGGGGCTTGCAGAGGGTTGGGCGACAGTGCTCCACCAAGTCCCATAGGGTGTGTGGTTCTTCCATGAGGTAAAGTGATTTCTTTTCCTGAACTGCCCAGCAGATGTAGGATCTGCTGAAAAGAGAATTCAGTTTCATTCAACCAGCATAATCAAGCCTGTGTCTCAGGCTGATGATAAGGAAATGAAATAAACAGATCCTGCTCCCCGAGTTCCCAGTCTGCAGGGGGAAGCAGACATAAACAGCTGCCTCAAATAAAACAAGAAGTGCTGGTAGAGTGTTATGTACAGAGTTGCAGGGCCCATCCAGGAAGCAGCAGTTCATTCTGTCTGGGGCCTTGGGGAAATTGACAAAGTGATATTTGAACTGGCTCTTCAAGGATCCATGGGACTTCACCAGGTACACAAGCGGTCAGAGTGAGATGGGGAGGAAAGGAGGGATATTCCTGGCAAAGGAAATAGATTGGCTGTTTGTGGCATGCCCAGCAATTATAAATATTCTCTGATGTGGCTCCAATATAAAACAGGGCTATGAGCAGAGCAAGCCATTGATATCCTCTGGTTCCAGTTCTGAGGATGTCTCTGTCTTCTTCTTGCCTTGCTCATGGAATAGAAAAACTGGAGTTGAAAGGAAATTTAGAAATCATATGATCTGATGTTATTTAAACTTTACTGCAACCCATTTTAATATGTAGATTGTATCCACATTCACTTACCTGGGAAACAACATTTCTCAAGAATATACTTGCCTTTGCAAAGCACAAAGCATTCCAACATTTTCTTTTCTAGTCTATTTCATTTTTTAAATAATGGTTTTAGACCTCTTGATGGATCACAACTCTCAATTTGTGAAACACTTGTCAAAGGCAAGCTCCTCATTTCGTAGATGAGAATGCTGAGACCCAGAGAGGGGCGCTGCTTGAGCAAAGTCACAGAGAAAGTTAGTCATGGAACCTGGGTTCCATCAGGGTTTTCTGACAAACAGTTCAGCACACTTACTGCTTTTTTCAACCTACAGAATAAAGGAGCATAGCCCCCTGTGGGTATCAGGATTGGGGAGGCTGCTGGTTGGAGGTGCCCAGAGCTAGCCTTTCCCCTGGTCCCTGCGCCAGTGTCCACGGTAGTCATGGAGGCTCAGGTGATTTACATGACAAATACAAGACAAATAGCAGGTGCCGTCCTGTCCATGTTTCCCTTTGGCAGCGCCCTATGCTTCTGCTCTGCTTCCTGGTGTTAATTGTTTGAGTAATGTTTGAAAAGAGAAGAGGTATCAGAAGGGACGCAGGTAGTATTGTAAATCTTTGCACAATGGTGTTTCAGGATTCTAGAGTCCTTGAGAGGGTCACAGGATGACTACGTTAAAAAATTCATGCATTCAGATGTGCTTTGCAAAACCTCCTTTAGCCAGGGGCCAGGTATTGAGAATCAAAGATGAATGAGAGGTGATCTTTGCTCCCAAGCATGTCACAGTTTTGTGGGGAAGAGAAATATGGAAATTAGTCATTTTAATGGAGAATGACAAATCGTTTAAGAGTAGAGCATATAATGGGTGTACAGAGGGAAATATGCAGCCACTTTGCCTGGATGGGAATGGGTAAGAAGGTCTCTCAGAGGAAGATGAACCTGGGAAGGATCTTTAAGAAGGGCTAGGCTTTTACCAGGAGCTCTGAATGTGGAGACCCTCTCCAGGCAGTGGAAACAATAGTTAAGGAGCATGGACTTGGAGGGATTGATGAGTGACTGGTTCTGTATGGAACACAGTCTGTGTGGGCTGAGAGGACTGGCAGAGGACAAGGTGGAACACAAAGAGTGATCCAGAAAGATGCACACTTGATCACGGGAGTCTGCCAGCCACCCCTGCACACCTCCAAGGCACGTGTGGAATACTCGGCTTTCTGGAACAATTCAGTGCCTTTGGATGAAATTGTTCCCTCCCTCTCTCACTCTCTCCCTTCCATCCTTCCTTTGTATCTTTTTTTCTCTCTCTCTCTCTTTTCCTTTCTTCACTTCCTCCTTCCATCCCTCCCAACTTCCTCCCCTCCCTCTCTCCATTTCTTTCTTCTTTTCTTCCTTCCTTCCATTTCTTCATTTTTCTCTTCCTGTCTGTCTTTCCTTCTTGGGGTTTATTTATTGCTTTTTTTTGGTTAATTTTGGAGTTTTGGGGGTTTTTTTTGGGTCTGTGTGTGTGGGTGTGTGGGTGTAACAGAAAGAGACAAAGAGAGAGAGAGAGTTACATCACAGTGAACTGAGTCAGAAAGTCTTAGATCAATGGTTCTCAGCCAGACCTAGTTTTGCCCATTCCCCAGGAGACATTTCTGATTGTCACAATTGGGGTGGTGAGAGGACAGTGGTGGTGTTACTGGTGACAGGAGGTAAAGGCAAGGGATGCTGCTAAATGTCCTATTACGTGTATGACAGCCCCTACAGCAAAGAATGACCTGGCTCAAAATGTCAGTAATGCAGAAGTTGAGAAACCTTGATTTAGACTTTAATAATAATAACATCAATACTGTCATTCACTGAGTATTTATTCTGTGTCCAACATAGAGTTAAGACTTTCTAAATGTTATAATATATATTCATTAAAACAACCCTGCAAGGAGGATACTATTGTCTCCATTTTACAGATGACTTCTGTCACCTTGCCCGGGGTCACACAGCCAGGACTCCAGCCAGCTGTGTTTCTAAAACCTGGGCTCCAATAACCTCTGCCCCACCCATCCTTTTTGTACCTTTGTAAATTCGTGGCCAGTGATACCAGCTCTGCCCTTTCCTAGAGTTGTTATGAGGACAACAGTAAGTGAGATGAGTGTTGTGAAAGCAGCACATAAGCTGAAATACAATTTATGTTACATGTGTACAAAGGTAAGCATGGACCTCAGATCCCCTTACTGATAAAACAGAGACCTCAGAACTGACTGAGCTACACAATCCCACCTGGCTCTCAAACAGTAGGCTTCACAGATTGATTTCACTGCCAGATGATGATAACACCAAATTAATCTGTGGGTTCCTTTTCTCTCAGCAGCTTGGATAGAGGGTTGGAATCTGAAATCCCAATTTCTGATCCCAGAACTGTCATAATTTAATCATGACATGTTGGCAAGTATTTACCTTTTCTGGGAAGTATTTCCCTCATCTTCTCACTTGGGAATAATAATATTTGGTTTTCCTCAAAAATCTCATCTAGAAGGCCATCCAGTCCTACCAATTTCTCCCTCTGGATTTTGGTGAGGAGTAAATAGAAAGTCCAAGGGAGGGCGCTTGAGAATGTATAAAGTGAAATGGTTGTGTTTCTGTGTAACAATGATTGTTATTGGGAGCCAGCTTGGGTAACTGAAGCAGTGGGCATTTTCCCAGGAATCTACTGGTGAGAGACACACTGAGAGATTTTTACAGTTGAAATACTACTTCACTCTCATGCTGTCCCCAAAAACATCACAGAAGCTTCAATTTTGCATGTGCCTCAACCCTTGTGCCAAAGAAAATCATATAATCCAAGGGGCAAAGTGCCCCATTTCTTTGATGTCAGGGATCAAGTGCCTGGATTTCTAGATGAACTTTGGTGGGTGTTGGCTTCCTCCCACCTCAGAAGCCATGGCAGGGGGCAGTTCAGTTGCTGAAAGAACCCAGGAGTCTGGGCACTGGCTGGGCTGGGGCTGCAGAGCTTGAAGGCTGGGCTGGAGTTACCTGAAGTCCCAAGAAGGATTCAAGATGCCCAAGAACTTAGGAAGTAAGTGGAGACTAGGAATTCTGCCCATCTAGCTTGGTGGTTTAGATCTTGTCTAAATGCTCCATCCATGTACCCCAAAAAAGGCCAATGGCTAAACCATTATTCGTTTAATCTGGCTAGTTTTTGGAGGGTCATAGCAATGAATTTTACAAGGACAGGTCAGGTAAGGTGATATCTGAGTGAAGTCAGAGCAATTATTCACTCCCAAGCTTTAGGGCCTGGCTCTGTTTTCTTTATTTTTAAGGGGCTGTGTTTAGGGAACTTGTTGGGAAACTAAGCTACAGTCAAAATTATTTATTTCCTGATCCCAAAGAGCCTGCTAGTGTTCTCTCTTATTACACCTTTGAGCCAGTCATCCAGGGGGAATTGCTCCACGTTATCCAAACTTGCCTTTTCCCTCAGTCCACATTAGCCTTCTTCTGGAAGCCTCACACCTGGCCCCTCCCCTGTGTTCACCTGGTAACTCCTACTCTTTCCCTAAGACCCAAGCAGTGGTTCCTTTGACTAGCTTTCTCTGAACTTCCTACCCTTAAATACATTCACTGTCACTGCATTCCCATAGCATCTTTTTTTTTTTTTTTTTTTTTTTTGAGACGAAGTCTTGCTCTGTCGCCAGGCTGGAGTGCAATGGCGCGATCTCAGCTCACTGTAATCTCCACCTCCCAGGTTCAAGTGATTCCCCTGTCTCAGCCTCCCAAGTAGCTGGGACTACGTGCATGCGCCACCATACTTGGCTAATTTTTTGGTTTTGTGTTTGTTTTGAGATGGAGTCTTGCTCTTGTTGCCCATGCTGGAGTGCAGTGGTGTGATCTCAGCCTAACTGCAACCTCCACCTCCCAGGTTCAAGTGATTCTCCTGCATCAGCCTCCCTAGTGGCTGGGATTACAGGTACACACCACCATGCCCGGCTAAATTTTGTATTTTTAGTAGAGACAGGGTTTCACCACATTGGCCAGGATGGTCTCAATCTCTTCACCTTGTGATCTGCCCACCTCGGCCTCCCAAAGTGCTGGGATTACAGGTATGAGCCACCGCACCTGGCCTCCCATAGCACTTTCATTACATGCCTACACATTGAGTCATCTTAGATGGCAACTAGGGCTTTTCTTCTTTCGACTCTTCTTTTCTCCTTGCATTCCTTCACCGGCAACTTCGTGTTTAACAAATGCTTAGAACACACTTACTATGTGACAACCACTGCAAATATTGGATATTCAAATCCCCCAATAACCTCACTAGAAGAGTACTATTGCTACTCCATCTGATTTCACAAATAAGGAAACTAAGTCAATTAGAGGTTAAGTAAATTAACCAATATAACACAGCTAGTACAGGGCAGAACTGACATTCAAACCCTAACTCCAGAGTTCTGGCAAATGAACAACTAACAATGCTAATTTTTCTGGAGGTAACAGGATATCTCCAAAGTACTAGAATTAGGACTAGGAAGAAGGTTTTTTATTGTATATGTACGAGGAAGTATGGGGAACAAAAGCAAAATATTACAATGTTGAGATACTATCTTGCTTTATAAGCTGAACCTGTTTTGCAGCATCTTTCTGAATTCTTTCTGCAAACAGGTATCAGATAAATAGGAGTAATTTTGTAAGCCACCTTCTTCCCAGTGGCTCTTGGTTAAGGCCATTTTCCTCTGAGGTCTGTGAATAGGAGCCTGAATGACTAACATTTGGTTAATTATTAATAGAGTGGTTAACACATAGGCTTTAAAGTTCAGACGATTTGGGTAACAGTCTCAGCTCTGCCTAGATGTGTGGTCTTGGCAACTTACTTGACATCTCTGAGTCTCAGATTCCTGATTTATAAAATGAGAATAGTCACTGCATCTACCACTGTATTTATCAGTCAGGATGAGCTTATGCCAGAGTAACAGGCATCTTGCATTTATCAGTGGTTCAGTACAACCAAGGTTTGTTTTTCATTCAAGCTTATGTTCACTGCAGGTTAGCAGTAGGGATTTGCCCATTATGGTTACTCAGGGACATGGGCGGATGGATCCTCCACCTAGACCAATGGTTCTCCACCTCAGCACTCTTAACATTTTGGGGCCAGATAGTTCTTTGTTGTGAGGGATGTCCTGTGCATTGCAGGATGTTTAGCAGCATCTCTGACCTCTACGGACCAGCTGCCAGTAGTACCACTTCCCCCAGCAGTGACAACCCAAACTATCTGCAGAAATGTCCAATGTCCCATGGGAAGCAGAAATCACCCCTGGTTGAGAATCACTGATTTACACATGCACTGCCATAAGCAGAACAATCAGAATGGCTGAAAAAAAGGAAAGGTTGAACAGAACACCGGCAATGAAATGCTCCCACATGAAAATGACATACTCACTTTTCCTCAGTGTGGATTGACTAAAGCTGGCCACTTGGCCAAATCCAACTTCAAGGAGGTAGGAAGTACAGTATTATTGTAAATCAGGAAGGGGGAGAGCTGAAATACCTGTCAACAGTTCTAATAAACAACCATCTAAGGCTGTTGAGAGGATTAAATGAAATACTGCATGTGATGTGTTTAACACAGTGCCAGGCAACAATAAGAAGAGTTCACTACTTAGGAACCATTGATATTAGAACACAATGCAGGGCTGGCCAGGCTGGGAAGAATGGAGCTATAGGTCAAACTGGCTCTACCAACAGCTCCTTTGTAGGGACATAGAATTCACACCTCACTTGTTAGAGCTTTCTTTTATCTAAAGGCCAGGAGAGGTTGGTTAATTTGTGGTGCTTAATTGCAAAGAGTGCTCTTATTAATCAATATTGTTGGTCAATTGAAGATTCCTATTATTATTTAACATTCCTATTATTATTTAACAATAACAGCATCAGCAAAGAACCTGGTTGAACCCTGCCTAAAAGCAGTCCAGCCTCTTAGTTAGTAAGCTAACCTTCTTACTCTGGTGTTCTAGCCACTCAAGCCTTCTTCTTTGAATACACCATAGATACCATCTTTTCTAGCTCAGGGTCTTTTATTTCTCCTGTCTAGAAGGCTCCTGTCCCATTTATCTAGTTAATTCTTACTAATTTGTTTACTTTTCAGAAAAGCACTCCTGACTTCTCAGGCTAGATATTCCCTCCTCCACCCTCACTCTAATAAATGTTCATAGACCTGAAGCCTTTCCTTCATCACACATTACGATTTATAATTATATATTTACTTGTGGGATTAATTGATTAGTGTCTGTCTCCCTTGCTGGTTTCCAAATCAGTCATGACTTTTTCTCCTTTGCTCACCTTATAACCCCAGGGCCTTTCACCTGGAATATAGTAGGCACTCAATAAATATAGATTGAATGAATGAATGAACAAATGAATGAAGGCAAAGTGAATGAACGAATGAATGAAAGTGAATGAAAGAAGGCAAAGTAAATGAATGAATGAAGGCCAAGACTAAGCTCTAGTTCTACTGATACCTGCTTTGAAATCCTTCCTTTAAACCACGCTGCGAGTAACAATGTACTCACCCCAACAATACATTTTCCAGGACAGGAAAGTGGGAAAAAGTCCTAACCTAAAATGTCAGGTCCTTCACTTCCTTGAGGGCACTCCTAGCAGAAGGTATGCCACCTGCACACACAGTGACCAAGTGCCTCACCCTGGCATGCCACTACAGTAGCTGTGTTTGCACAGAGCTCCCAGTTCCTGGTTGGGAACCATGGTGAAGAGTCTCTAAACAGAGCTGGCTGGGCAACCTCAAGCTGGAGCCCGGGGGCACAGCCTGAAGGCTGGGAGCACTGACAGGCCATTTCCGAGCCCCAGGTGGTAAGTCTGCCCTTCTTTCTCAGGTTTTAGGGGTAGCTCTTGGCCTCATTCATCTGGCCCACTCCCCGTGACCCTTAACAGCCTGGCAGCTGGCCTTTCAAACTTGAATGGAAATCCATTTTCTTCCCTCCTTTAACCTGGAGGGAATCCAATTCTCTTCCCCACTGGCTTGGGGCCCAGTCGCACCCATGTGCTCGCCTCCACCTCCAGTAAGGAGTAATCACTTTCTCCTTGGTTAACTGAACCCTGGTCTGCAGAGAATCAGTGGGCTGCTCATTGCGTCTCTCCCAGGCACACATCGATTGGACCTGCTCAAATGCCACTTACTCTCTGCCCACCACCTCTCTGCCTCTCCTTGTGTGCCTGTGAGTCTCTTTCTCTCTTTGAAATATGATCATACTGCTTTTTGCTGGGTCCATGCATGCCATACCTAAAAGTAATTCAAGTAAATATTTAAGACAAAACTTCTCATAAATAGCAAAAAAAATAAAAGATTTGCTGTAGTAAAGCTGGGTTACTAGGAACAAATCCCTTGGTACAAATGTATGCTAGAATAAAAATAAAATGTACAAGCAAACCCCCAAAATAAGCATCTTAGCTGACATCTTCCATAGTTCTAAATTTGTTAAATTACCTGTTTGGGGGTATGTAAAAATGAAAATTGATGGTATTGGTCAGAAAGAAAAAGTCAGATAATTAATGCTGCAGTTTTTAGGTAACTAGCTAACATAATTATAAAGTACATCTTTTAAAAAAGAGGATGGCAAAACAGTGGTGACATAACTCATTGAGTTTACTCCATTAACTCTGAAGAGCACTTGAAATCTTAACAAGCAGAATGGCTGCTATTCCAGCGGCACAGCCTGCTGAACCAAGGACAAAAATGGTAATCTGAGGGAGAAATCTATGGTCTGAATCAAGAGTATGTTGCCTGGGCTATATATTTTTACTTAAGTGCATGGCAGAATTCTCAAGAGGCTAATTACAGATGAAATTATCTTCACCTTATAGATTAAATTTGTTCATGCAAGGCTTTATTGACAAAAAATTGTCATAGTGATATATAAATTATTCAGACATTTAGGGCCATTGCTATTATGATGCAGTCTTTTATTAGAGCAAGAAGTCATTTTTAACAGTCCAGGAAGAGTTATGCATTGTATAATTCCAGAGCTTGTTCATGACTAAAACCATTCTAATATCATTCCTGAGGGAGTTGACTTACAAAAGGATGGCCTCTCTCCAGAATGGTGAAGACTGTTTAGCTGTGGTTGCTACTTTAATCTGATTTACTGTTTATGAGTCATAACGTGAGGATCTAGTCGGGTTACAACTAAAATCAATTTTATCCAGCCTCTGGGTTTTTTTCTCCCATTTTTGATTTTTAATTACTAAAGTAATACTTGATTGTAAAATAGCCAAGCAGAACAGATGTATAAAGAGTAAAAAGTGAAGTTCTCTTTTTAACCCATGTATCCAAGCCAAATCTGTTCCCTTCCCTCTCTAGATATAGCCACCATTGACTGGATAATGTTTTCTAAAAATGAACAGGACCACACACACAGAGATTATATATGAAAATAAATTCACATGGGGTTAGATTATCTTAAACTTTTAAATAGAATCACACTATATATTTTGGTCTGCAACAAGCTTTTTTCCACTTAAGCATATGTTATAGAGAACTATGCCAATATGTATAGATACACCCTAATTTCTTTTAAACTATTGTATAGTGTTCCATTCTATAGATTGCCATGGTTTATTTTACTTCTATTGTTGGAGTTCAGATGGTTTCTGTTTCTTCACAATAACAGATATGTATCAGATGTATATATACATGCATATATATGCATGTGGGTATGTGTGTATGTAATTGATGTGTGTGTGTGTATTTCTACAGCATTTCTATATGATGTAGTATTTCTGTAGGATGAATTCCCCAAAGAGCAATTGACTGAGCTAAATTGTACATGCAACTTAAACTTTGATATTGTCAGGGATACTATCATGTGACCTGAAAGTGCTCTGCTAATTTACACTGTGTGATGGTGTGTGTGATGGTGCCCTTTTTGCCATGCCTTCACCCCGCTAGATATTATTCATCATTTCATTTTTGCCAACCTGGTGGGTAGAAAATCACATGCCAATGCTGATTTCCGCTGCATTTCCAAGGTTGGGAGTGAGGTGGACCTAGCCTTATCTTTAGGTTTTTTTGTGTAATAAACCTTCAGATGAAGCAAAATACAGTCATTGAGAACTGTACAGAACCCGAAAAATGAAAGAAAATGAGACCATTTAAGCTCAGAACTGCATGCATAATGAAAAGGAGCCCCAAGCTGACTTCTTTAATGAGGCAGTACTAATTATGTTAAAAGTTAGCAAGATAAAAGAATGGAAAGGGCCCTATTTAGCCCGTTGCATGCTGTGTAGAAAACAAGCTGGTGGAGTCAGACTGTACAAGCTTTCATTGAATATCTGGACGTGTACTGCGGGACCATGGACAAGTTACACACCTTCCATGTATCTCAACCTTGTCATCCATAAAATGGAAATGTTGTCATTTTCATAGGACAGTTGTAATGAGACAGTGCATGTCTAATCTTTGGCACAGTGCCTGGAAAATAAATGTTGGGCTCTATAATTGTTAGCCATAATAATAGTAAACACAATAGCTACTATTGCTATTATTATCATAAGTCAAATAGACAGTCATACACCCACAGGGAGAAATAGAGTCTTTGCGCAGTGACTAAGTGGCAAGTGAGCAGGTCAGATGGATATATGATTAGGAGAGATGTTAGAAAGAAATTCATTGATCCTTTGTAGAGCAGAGTACAGTTAGCCAGAGGGAAATGATTAATTATCTTCTAATTGCAAACTAATCAGTTATCAGAACAGGAGGGGATCTTAGAGGCCATGGAATACAAAAATTTCATTGTGTAGATGAGAAACCAAGACTCAGAGAGAAGTGACTTTACCTAAGATTACACAGCTACCCAAGCAAGAGAACCAAAACTGGGATCTGTGCCTCCAACTGCAAGTCCATGTTTCCTCCATATTCTTATTTTCTGAATTATTCTTCATCTTTTAGTTAAACAGAGAAAGATATAATGAAGAATGAGTCTGCAAAAGCACCTTTTTATTTCTTGTTTCTGATTTTGGATGACAGCTTTTAGAAAAATAACCAAGTTAAGAGTGCTTGCACATCAATAAAGAAATGACACCTCAAGAGAAAAATGGGACGAAGTGAAGACCAGGTAATTCACAGAACAGGAAGTACAAATGGCTAACACACATGTGAAAAGATGCTCAACTTTGCTAGTAATCAGGGAAAGACAAAACGCTAGTCCTTCATTTATGCAGTCAACAAGAATTTTTGAGTGCCTATAATGGGCTAGGAGTGGTTCATTTTTCATCATCCAGATTGGCAAATATTTTAGAACATAACGTCAAGTGCTGGTGAGAGTATAAGGAAATAGGTACTCTCAAATGTAGTGTGAGGAGTGAGAAATTAATACATACATTTGGAAAGCACTTTGGACAGCTCCTGGCAGATTAATGCTCCTACCCCAAAAATATCCATGTCTTAATCCCCAGAGCCTCTGAATACACTGGGTCACATGGCAAAAGAGAATTAAGTTTACAAATAGAATTAAAATTGCTAATAAGCTGATCTTAAAATAGAGAGATTTCCTGTATTATCCAGTGAGAGCCAATGTAATCTCAAGGGTCCTTAAAAGTGAAAGAGGGAGGCAGAGGAATCAAAGTCAGAGAAGGAGAAATAATGACAGCAAGGTCAACATGCTTTGAAGACTCATCCTGCCATTGCTGGCTTTGAAGATGGAGGAAGGGGCCATGAGCCAAGGAGTATGCACAGCCCCCAGAAGATGGAAAAGGAAAGGAAGCAGATTCTCCCCTAAAGCCTCCAGAAATAAATGAAGTCATAACAACACTTTGATTTTAGTGCAGTGAGATCCATGTCAGACTTCCAAGATAATAGGTTTTGTATTGTTTTAAGCCACTACGTTTGTGGTAATTTATTATAGCAGCAATAGAAAACTAATATAATTCTATTAAAATTTCAATCGAAATGTGTTGTGCCATTTGTCTCAGCCATTCCTCTTCTTGTTATTACCGTGGAGAATCACTGCAATTTGTATTTGAGGGACCACAGTCAAGGATGTCTGCTGCGACATTGCTTGTATTGATGAACAATTGCAGGGACTTCAGCATGTTATCCATGAAATGGGATAGTAAGCAGATGTTAAAGTGAATGAAGTAGATCTGTAAGTAACTAACATGCCAAATTCTCCCTTCAAAACAAAACACACCGAAGAAGCAAGTTGGAGGCCACTGCACCCAGTATATACCAATCATATAAAATTGTCACTTTCACACAACTAAATTATATATTTTAATAATCCATACAAGTGAATGGAAGGATGCATGCCAAACAAAACAGTTATAACCGTGCAGAAAACAAACAAAACAGTTATAACCATGCGGAAGACTGTTGAGTTTGAAAAGTTTATTCCTTATATAACTTTAAAATAAAATTTAATGGAAAAATAATGAGAGATCACCTGAAGACTCATTCTCCCCAGCTCACATATACCTCTCCTTTGGTTTGATCCACTTGAATGCAAAAGGACCTTGTGCTAACATGTCTGGGAAGAAAATGCTCCAGCATACAGGAGAAAGGATAATTTTGAATGACTGAATTTTCATTGGGGCTAGAAGTCACAGGACTCCCAGTTTTCTTAGTCCTAGCCGGGAGAGTTCTGGTTCTCTTGAGCCCCTGGTCCTACAGGGGAATGGCAAGGCAGGAATCAAGGGTGCACAGTCAAGGCTCTCTAGCACCTTCTCTACTAGTTATGCTATTACATTTTAGAGGACAACATTGAATGTTCCATTTCCCAAAAATGCGTTAAGTTTTTTGTGCATAGAGCACTGCAGTGGCCAATATGGGGAATGGAAATCTTTCATAACTCAGTTCA